CCCATATTGTTTATATTTCTACATATATTTAGGTTTGGGCCATTGAAGAGCTTTCTAGTCCATTTTCAAGGAAGACATAGATATATCTACCATGTTGTTGGTGAGTCCTCAAGTCCGAGGATGATGCCACTTTCTAGCTTAATATATATGCACTATACTTAAGACAATTTTTCATTCCTTATCTTTTGGAGACTTTGTTGTAAGCCTTTCTATGGCATATTGTACTAGTGTAAGCTCCATGAAAAAATTGTATACTTCTATGATACATGGTTTATATGTAAGACAAATACTACACTAGCTTATGAATTGGCTATAGTGCATAAATGAGAAGTCTATGTACATTTCATAAATAAGTCTATGCAAACCCCATATGTGATAAGTGAGAATTCGAAATTTAGTTCACTATGTAAAAGTTTAATATTTTTTGCATTTTCTCTATCTATAATTTGCAATGAATTATGCTAAGGGATAGTCTAAGGCAAATTTAAGGATGAAGACGCCGATGGGGTGCTCGCTGGTGGTGAAAAACCTTATATCAGAGCATGAGGTTGAGTAGTCTTAGGATTGATGTCCCACTAAACCACGTCTACATAGAGACTTGTTCATGAGTGTGCAGCACCATACTTATGAATGAGAGTCTAGGTGATGCTTAGAATATTCTCACCTCTTTGGTATTCTTGAAAGTCGTGCATCAAGAGTTGTAACTCTATGTGTCCTTTTTCTTATAATCCTTTTATTGTGGTTATAGGCTATGACTACTAGAAGGGAAGCCACAAGAAGAGTTAAAGATGAGATTGCTAATGCGGAGTTCCTTTCCAAAACAATTAAGCTCCTCTTCCAGAAGAATCTCCTCAAGGTGAACAAGCCCCGGTCACCTTCGGCCATGACAGATGGATATATAAGGTTGACTTTCATCAACTTGTCTCAATCTATGACTACTAAATCTCAAGTCGTAGCTACTTAATGTCAAGATATTGCAGTCAATAAAACTGGGAAATTGGATCTCATGTGAACCAAAATGCTAGTACAATGGATTTTCTATCAAGGGACTTCACTAGGATTAACCCTCCAATGTTATTAAGGTCTAAGGTGAGTGAAGACCTCCAAGACTTTCTTGATGAGGTGTACCAGATCCTATATGTGATGAGAGTAGATAGTCCTAATGAGAAGACCGAACTATCCGCTTATCAACTCAAGGATGTGGCTCAAACATTGTATACTCAATGGAGGGAGAATAGGGATTTGAGTGCGGATCACATAAGCTAGGAAGTCTTTAGGAGGGAATTCATGGTAGGTTCTTCCCAATGGATAAAAGAGAGGCTAAGGTTTAGAAGTTCATAAACCTTCATCAAGGAGGTGTGAGTGTGCTAGAATACTCTTTGAAATTCACTAAGTTGTCTAAGTATGCCTCTTCTTTAGTGTACAATCCTAGAGATAAAATGAACCATTGTGTGATGGGTGTGTCCAATAATATTGTGGAAGAGTGTTGTTCGGCGATGCTTTATGAAAACATGGACATTTCTCATTTGATGGTACATGCTCAACAAGTTGAGGAGATTAGGGTCAAGAGGAAGAATAGGGATGCTAAGAGGGAAAGGTCAAATGAAGGGGGTACTTCTAAGGGAAAGTTGGAAATCCAAGACAAGCCTAAGTTCAAGAAGAGATTGTCCAACAAAGTTCCTACTAAATTTCCCATGTCTAGAAAGGATAGTGTCTAACCCTAGGTTCCAAGGGGGAAGAGGTGGAAATTCAACAAGTGAGAAACCTACTTGTACCCAGTGTAGTAAGAATTATATTGGTGAATACGTGGTGGGAACAAATAATTGCTTTGGTTTTGGGAAGAGTATTTCTTATACAAAATTTGATGATGAAATAGGAAAACAATAAAAAATCAACAGAGTATAGCCATAAAGTTAGTGATTGTCCTGTGCTTAAGGCTAAGGGGATGGATAGTAATCAAGTCAAGCAAGCTTACCTAGTTCCGATGTTCTTAAAAGAACCGCTTCTATGCTCTCCGCTCTAGGGGTGCATAAGATGATTCTTGCAATGTAGTCACTGGTATGTTACGAGTGTTTTCCATTAATGTCTACGCTTTACTAGATGCTGGTGCTAATTTATCATTTGTAACTCGATTAGTATATAAAAGTTTTATGCTCTACCTGATATCCTGATTGAACCTTTTTCGGTTACTAACCCGATGGGTGACTCTGTTGTGGCTAGAAGAGTCTTTAGGAGTTGTCCTATATCATTGCCAGCTACATTGGTTGATTTTGTATAACTTGATATGCTGGACTTTGATGTCATATTTGGGATGGATTGGTTGCGTTCTTGTTTCGCTTCTATTTATTGTAGAACAATGGTAGTTAAGTTTCAATTTCCTAATGAACCCGTCTTAGAATGGAAGGGGGTTAACTCAATACCTAGAGGTCTAATAATTCCATGTCTTAAAACTTGTAAGATAATTTCTAAGGGATGTCTCTACTGTATTGTTAGGGTCAAGGACCTTGAGTCCGAGATTCCTCCACTTAAGTCGGTACCCTTAGTGTGGTATTTTTCGAATGTCCTCCTCGATAACTTGCTCGTAATTCCTACCAAATGGGGAATAGACATTGGCATAGACTTGTTGTTGGATACAAAGCTATTTCAATTCCTCATTACCAGATGACTCCGACCGATTTAAAGGAACTAATGATTCAACTCAAAGATTTAGTACACAAAGGTTTCATAAAACCTAGTGTTCCCCATATTCCAGTGTTGTTTGTAAAAAAGAAGTATTGATCCCTTAGGATGTGCATTGATTACTGTCAACCAAATAAGGTCACCATAAATAACAAGTATCCTCTCCTTAGGATCGATGATTTTTTTGATCAACTCTAAAGGAAAAGCTGCTTTTTGAAAATTGATTTGAGGTCGGGTTATCACCAAGTTAGTGTGAGAGGTGAAGACATACCCAAAATAACTTTCTGAACTAGGTATGGTAATTATGAGTTCGTAGTTATGTCTTTTGTCTAAATAAGTCCCCAACAGATTTTATGGACTTTATTAATAAAGTGTTCCGGAATTACCTTGACTCCTTTGTAATTGTCTTCATTCATGATATCTTGGTGTATTCTAAGAGTGAGGATGATCACATGGGTCATTTGAGAATAGAATTGCAAGTCCTCAAGGAACATCAAGTCTTTGCTAAATATAGTAAGTGTAAATTTTGGTTCAGATCTATTGCGTGTGTTTTTAACATTATCTCAAGTGAGGGTATAAAGTTTGATCTAAAGCAAATGGAAGTAATTAAAAATTGGCCTAGACCTTTTAATCAAAACAATATTACAAGTTTCTTCGGTTTAGCTGGGTATTATAGGAGATTTTTGATGGGTTAGAATTCATTGCTTCACATATGAAAACCTTAACCCAAAAGAATGGTAAGTTTGAGTGGTGGGAAGCTTGTTAAAGAGGTTTCCAAGAATTGAAAGATAAGCTTACCTCTGCTCGAGTTTTGATTTTACCGGAGGGTAACTAAGGATTTGTAGTGTATTATGACGCTTCTCAAGTATGTTTTGGTTATGTTATCATGCATTATGGTAAGGTCATGGCATATGCCTCTAGACAACTCAAGGTGCATGAGAAGAACTATCCAACTAATGACCTTGAATAAGCGGTCGTAATGTTTTCTTTAAAAATATGGAGGCATTATTTGTATGAGGTACATGTGGATGTATTCACTGACCACAAGATCCTTCAATATTTGCTCACTCAAAAGAAGTTGAATCTCCGAAAAAAATGTGGTTCAAATTTTTGAAGGAATACGACATGAGTGTTCTCTACCACCCCAACAGGAACAATATAGTTGTGGAATGTAATGGGTAGTGTAACCCATATTTACGATGATAAGATAGAGTTAGTGAAAGAGGTACATCGATTTGCACGGTTGGGTGTTCGATTGGAAGATTCATCAAAAGGAGGGTCTATGGTTCATCATAATTTTGAATCATCTTTAGTGGTGGAGGTGAAGTCTAACAAACACCTTGATCCGCTGTTGATGGAGTTGAAGGGATCGATTCTTTGTAGTTTCAATGAGTCATACTCCCAAGGGGGATGCGGTACTTAGGTACCAAAGTAGATTTCGTTTACCGAATGTGGATGGTCCAAGAACAAACTTTGAAAGAGGCTCATGGTTCCCGATATTCCCTTCATCCAGGTGCCACCAAAATGTATCGCGATCTTTGAGACATCGATTGTTTGGATGGTTTGAAAATGGATATAGTAGAGTTTGTGGCTAAATGTCCTATTTGTCAACAAGTTAAGGCCAAACATCAAAGACTGGGAGTTTAACTCAAGCGATGGATGTCCCTACTTGGAAGTGGGAAGGTATAAATATGGACTTTGGAGTGGGTTTGCCTCAAACCCGGAGGCAAAATGAGTTAATATGCATGATTGTTGATAGATTGACAAAATATGCCCACTTTATCCCCGTTAAATCTACTTATTCCGTGGAGGAGTGTGCTAGGTTGTACCTTAATAAGATTGTGATTTTGCATGGGATACCTTTGTCCATCATCTCAGATAGAGGTGCCCAATTCCCTTCTCATTGTTTGAGGTCTTTTCAAAAGGGGAGGAGGTACTCATATGGATGGTCAAGCGGAGAGTACCATCCAAACCCTAGAATATATGTTAAGGGATTGTGTTATTGACTTCAAGGGTAATTGGGATGATCATCTACCGTTGATAGAGTTCTCCTACAATAATAGCTACCATTCGAGTATTTGCATGGCACCATTTGAAACACTCTATGATAGGATATCTAGGTATCTATTTTGGTGGTTTGAGGTTGGTGAGTCTTCACCCCTTGGTCCGAGATAATTTATGAGGCGTTGAAAAAGGTTTAGATGATAAGGGAGAGGTTAAAAAAAGCCTATATTAGGAAAATAACATATGCCGACAATAGAAGAAGAGACCTTGAATTTGAAGTAGGTGATTGGGTCTACTTGAAAATTTCACCCATGAAAATGGTAATGATATTTGGTAAAAAGGGAAAGCTTAGTTACCGGTATGTGGGCTCTAATGAGATAATGAAACAGGTCGGGAAAGTTGCTTATGAGTTGAAGTTACCAAGTGAATTAGACCTGGTTTATGCAGTATTTCATGTCTCTATGCTTAAGAAATGTGTAGGCGACCTGGTGTCTACCCTCCCTATTGAAGGGTTAGAAGTGAATGAGAATCTTTCATATGAAGAGGTTCCAGTTGAGATCCTAGATCGTCAAGTCAAAAAATTGAGGAACAACGAGGTTGTCTCCATAAAAGTCCTATGGAGAAACCATCTAGTTAAGGAAGCAACATGGGAGGCCGAGGCCAACCGAAGCCACACTATCCATTTCTTTTCCTCTAAACCGTAGTCAAAGTCTAGGTTTGTTGTTCCTCTTAAAATAAAGTTATAAACAATGTGAACTTTGCTTGCTTTGCTAGTATGTGCATTTCTTTGTAAAGGCTCATGACAATATGATTTTTTTTATGACATTAGTTCTCATGACTAATTTGCACTTGCATGTAATGTATTACTTGTTTTGTTCATGAGAAATGGTAGTAAACATGTTTAATGTTTCTTGAATAAAGAATTGCAGTGGCTATTAATTGTTGAGCTATTATATGTGGACCATAGCATTTGACCCTAAAAGCTTTCATTTGACAGTGGCTATTGAAGGAATCAAACGACGAGCCATCAATGGGTCAACATCTGTCAATGGCGCTCGTGGGTAGGGACTTTGAAATATTAAAAAAGGGCTCCATAAAACAGTCTTTGACCGAAACCACGGATTACCAGTACGTTCCGCGGTCTGGTCGATGAACCGTTGGCGTGGAGTCATTGATTAGGGCCATGCTTCAGTGTCTATTTTTGGTCAAGGTTAGGATAGTTAATTAATTAGTTAACAATTTAATTAGGGGTTAAGGGGTGTTTAATTAATTTAGCGGACACTATAAAAAAGTTAAACTTCATTAAACTAACTCATCAATTCATTATTTCTCAAGCCCAAATTTCTTCAACTTCTCTTTAGTTTCACTCAGTACCCAAAAACCCCCCATTGAAGACCAAGGTTCAAGCTTCTTTCGGTCTTCAAGACTCAAGTATTTTTCCATCATTCTTCAATGAATCTTAATGTATGGAAGCTATTAACTGTTGGGATCTCTTTCGCCTTGAGGCTCTTCAAAATTGGTTTCCAGATATGTCCAAACTTATGGTTTTCATTCAATTTCGTGGGTTACCTTTCAAATTGATTTAATGTTGTATTATATTAATTAATATTGATATATTATGATTATTTATTTTTTAATTTATGTGATTATTTAGGGGTTGACCTAGTTTCTTTAAAGGATCCATGTCCCTTTTCCTTAACCCTAGGTAACGAATTAAGTTAATTGGGGATTAGGAATGATGAAATTGATGTAGTTCTTGTAAAATTTACTATTATATGGTCATTTTGTGTGAATTTATGGATAAATATTATAAAATTGACGATGAAGTCTTGAAGATGGTTTCGGAAACTATTGGTAACACCTTTATGACTATGAGTTCTCTACTTTACTAATGATGATTATTCTTGATGATGATGTTCAATTTAAGTATGATTACACAAATAGAATAAGAAGATAATTATATGAATAATATGATGGAATGTTATGAATATGTTGAATGTGAGACCATGGTAAGGGTATGATGATGCAAGATTTTCTCTTGTGTGCCTATAATTATAACTATGATATGTTGATCTCACTAATGATGGTTTGTGATGAAAGGAAGTTCTCATTCTAAACATAGGTTTAGTCTAGTGACGTGATTATACCATGGGTTAGTCTCCTATGGAATATATTGATATTCAATGATTAGGAAAGTCTTAAAGACATTTTAAAAAGGGACTTAAGCTTAGCACCAAGAAAACAAGATATGAGAGGTGTCCCTTCCTAATGAGGGATGTAGGTTCGCAATGATTCTCATGAGATAGAGACTATCATGAAATGTGCATACCGGATTTTGTAGTATATCTCTTAGTTCCTTAACTATGTTTCCCCCATAGGAAAACTAGTTAGTCGATCCACCCAGAATGTTATGTTGATGTTACAGTTTTACCTTGGCAAGTAGAGCACCTTCTTCCGGTGTAGGGTTTCATGGTACAGGATTTTATGTTTAGATCACATGGACCATTGTCGGTTAAGGTGATTTTTTCGGAAAGTAAAATGAATGAACAAAAGTAATAAAGTGAACACTAACTAGGTTACTTAAGGGCCTACACTTAGAGTGGGTAAGGGTATGTGACTTTACCTTTACATTGCACAAGTTGACCTTGAGGGCAGTCCTAGGAAGATGTTCTTATGCACTTCTGTTGTGAATGAATTGATAAATGTTGACTTTACATGATGTTGATCTTATATGATGTTGGCTTCATTTTATGAACATGATATTGGTCTAAAATTCTATGTATGGTGATGACACTACATGATATGATGTTATATGAAGTATAGACATTGCTTATGGTATCTCTTCTAGTTTACTTGATAATGTGGGGTTAGGGGCTTCACATGAACATTGCACTTGTAAGCTTTTGATGGGATTGTAAGGGTACTTTATGCTATGATGTCATGAACTCTAAAACATGTGTTGTTGTTATGACCTTATGATGATGCTATTAATGTTGTTATTACTTCACGATAATGTTGTTCTTGTATATGGATATGAACTTGTATTATGTGATGATTATGATTATGGACTTGTATATGCTCTTATGTGTGCATAAAGGCTTTTAAAGTGACATAGCATGGTTTTAAACAAAATATCCCTTTGAGCATGATTACAATGGTTTTAGTTGTATATGTTTCCATACTTAGTACATGTGGTTTTTACTAACCCACATTCTTTATATATCTACATATATGTAAGTTCGGGACATTGAAGAGATATCTAGGCCATTTGGAAGGAAGACTTGGATATATTTCCCAAGTTGTTGGTGAGTCCTCAAGTTCGAGGATGATGCCACTTTCTACCTTCATTTTTATTCACTATGTCTAAAGACACTTGTTCTTTCCTTATCTTCAGAAGACTTTCTTGTAAGCCTATATGTGGCAATATTATCCTTTTGTAAGGGCTGTTCTCAATTCGTGTTCTTCTAGGATAGAACCTTTATTTGTGAGACAAATATTGGACTATCTTGTGAATTGGCTACAATGCATAAATGAGAAGTCTATGTACACTTCTTAAATGAGGAGTCTATATGTAAGCTCCAGATATGATAAGTAAGAAGTCTCAGTGTACTTCACTATGTAAAAGTTTTAAATTTTCTGCATTTTCTCTACCTATGATTTGCAACAAATTATTCTAAGGGCTATTCTAAGGCTTTTTTGAGAACGAAGATCGATTACGTCTACGGGGTGCTCCCCGATCAAGAAAATACAAGCCACTTACTATATCATAACAAAAGTAAAAGAACAAAAAGTGTAAAAATTCATTTTAAGTCCAAAACTTTCATAAAAAGAAAGAGGAATTCTAGACTCCATGTCTCAACATAGCCATCAATTATAATATCTAATATTAAAAGGGACACTACCCATATAACATAGTCCACAAAAGATAATAAATGAAATGAAACTTTAAAGTCAAAACATATGTCCTCGAATCATAAGGATTCACCAACAAGCTAGGAGAATAATATAATCTAATCTTTAGACACAATTATGACCACCTTAAGAACTGGATCCTACACTTGGGAAAAATGTAGGAAAAGTAGGCGTTAGTACAAAAATTCACTAAGTAGGATAGCCATGAATAAAATATTGAAAACACGCAAAAATAGACATTTTAGTTGAAAGCATACAATTTCCCATGTTTAAACATGATTATGAAAAAAATGGAAAAGCATAAGTCATTAGCATAGTCAACATATAGATCATTATAACATAAGATAGACATACCTTAAGTACCCTCAAGACATACTTGTGCAATGTATGAATAAGATCCCATAATCTCACCCATACTAAGTAATGATTTTTGAGTAGCCATGGTTGATAATTCACATTCTTGTTTATATTGCTGTTGTGGGGAAATAAGACTTAATTGACATAAACCATGTGAGTTAAAATGGAATCAGGTGTCTACCCCATACAATAATGAGGTGTCCTACTTTCCAAAGGTAGAACCATACTCTTAGCTTAGGTGGATCCACTAGCTAAATACCTATGAGGGCACATAGTTTATGGGATAAAGAGATTTCTCCTAGAAACCAGACTCAACTAAGGTAGAAGGTTTACATCTCATGAGACATACTTTGGGAACTCCAACTCAACTAGCATATAAGGAACCCATTTGGAAAGTTAGACTCAACTAGTGTAAAAGCTTCCATCTCATATACAATATCCACTCAATGCTAAACAATTGATTCCCACATACTACACAATAAGTCTTGACTTAAGTTCTTATTCATGGAATAATGTAATCACACTTAGTCCAACATTATTCATAAGATAGCTCATACATTTAATAGGTGAGAACAACCTTTCAACCTTATAATCGTCATGTTGTGAGAAACCTTTTACATCATATCATATTCATACATAGGTGTGTAAGTGAGGATATTCTTTCAACAGTACACAATAAGATCATAATCATAATAATTTACTCTCAAAGTGTTCTTATGGCATATACATAACCTTTATAATACATCCATAATATCATATCATCCCTTTAAAGGGTTAAAATCATATCAAATCAACACTTCAAGAGTTTGTAAATTAGACATGGATATAATCATAATTCAAGTAATTAATTCACTACACGCATAACCACATAATATTCTTCTATCATTAGCAAACCCACATCTTAAGATAATAATTAGGAATTATAGGGAATTCAGGTATTCTCGGGCAATTAAACATAAAGTCATAGGAAATAATCAATTTACTAATAATATAATATAATTCAATCATTAGAAACGATTTTGAAAGGAATCAATGAGTTTGGAGTCAAGTCCTATCTTTTGGGATATCTAGCTTTGAAATTATTTTTTTTGAAGGGGCTCTATAGGTGAATTCTATCAATGGATGAAGCTCTATCATACCTTATCAATTAGATCCAAAATATTTGAGTAGAAAAACATGTTCTTTGTACCCTATCTCCAACTTCCTTCTTCTTATTCCTTGAAGTTCTTAAGAGAGAATATTTGGTGAAAATTAGTTTTGATTTGGGATTTTGGAATAATGAGGAACATGACTTAATTTAGGGGTATAAAATCCTTTATAGGTGGTTAAAAATAGGCAAAATGACACAACTTAATATTAATTAAAACAAAAAAACCCCAAGCACCCCTAACAGGTACCTTAAAATAGTTTATGGGTGACCACTCACGACCCCACG